GTCCTCGGAGGAAGTTCACAGCGCTGATAAGTAGCAGGGTCAGGACCAGAAGCACATGCACCGAATCTGTGACCAGTGCGGGAACCCAGGGCTCAGATAACCTCTCTGGCCCACTGCCTATTTCTGTCCATTCTAGAACAAAGCCGCCCTTATTACCTCGTGCTTATGCCCATTCCAGTGCTACAAGGGCAGAGTTGAGGACCTGTGACACAGAGTCTCCTAAAACCCAACACATTGACTGTCTCTCCTTCTACAGAAGAATTATGCAGAGTCCCGTCCTAACCAAGCTGGGAAGGGACAGAAGTAGTCCTCTCCCTCTCTGCCCCAGACTTCTGCCCAAACCTGTCTGAGGACTGTCTCAGTCAAGTTCCCGCTGAGTCATGGTAAAGAGAAAGCATCTCTCACAGCTAAGCTCATCAAATGTCCTCAGGACCTGGAGGAGTCCCCCAGGTCTCCAAAAGAAATATTTTGAAGGACACCAACAGTGAGGCATCTCTCTCAGAAGAAAGAAAAAAGGCTTAGGGCAAATAAGAACTGTTTAGGCCTGGCCTATCTGCAGAGTCCTTTCTGCACAGGTTGAAAATGAGGTGCTAGGGAAGGAGTATTTCAGATAAAAGGCTTGTTTAGTTTGTGAGATTAAACACACAACAACAAAAAAATGGGTTGCCTCCTCTATAGAAGAGTTTACAGAAGATAGCAGAAGAATGTGGTCACGCCTACTGATCTGTTTGGAAGAAGAATGTTAAAATACAAGATCTCCCTGAGAAATGGCTCTTCAATTTGCCTACGAGCAGTGTTTGTGGGGGGGGGGGGGTCCTCGGGAGGCTTCCACGAGGCTAGCAGACGCTGCACTGAGCTCCCCTATCTCTCCAAAATGCCCTAAATTCAGATTGGTGGCTGCCAGTTTCGGACCCTTCTCTTCGGTGGCACTCACTTCTTGGAGAGAGGGAAAGTCGGTAAAAAAACCTGTTCTTCTCCCCTTAGAGAAAGTGATGCTGGCAGCTGTTTAGACGAAGGCACGCTTGCGGGGAGGGGCGCGTCAGCCCCCTTTGTGACAGGAGAGGCAGTCTGCGTGAGCAAACCTCACAAAGAATGCCTCGGTGTCCCCTTAGGCAAGCAATGGCAGCCAAGCAGTGACGAGGTTTACACACATCTCATCTCCATGCTCCCTTGCTCAGCAACACCTAGCCTTAATCTGGCAGCTGGAGACGTCAGGGGCGGGGGGGTTGGGGATGAGGAGAAAGAATTGCACACCACAGCTGCCTATCGGGAACCCTGGCAGGCTTCAGGAATACTTCTCTGCCTTTCGTACCGCACCCCCTCTTGGAAGTGCTTCTAGGAGAGAAGAGCGGGGAAGCCAAGGAGAGAGGGAATCTGAGGCCAACCCCAGGTCCTGCGCCCTGGGGTGAGGGACACTACGTTGGTAGGCGACGCCTCTGGGGGGTGGCCCGTGGGGGAATGAGGATGGGGGGAAAAGAGGAGAGATGGGCAGAGATGGACCAGTTGGCACCAAAGAAACAGAACTTAAACCCCGAGACAAACCCCAGCCAGCTCTGTCGCTACCCCAGGACGGTCTCTCTCATGACTGAGATGTTCACTTTCTCCTGGTTTTACCTGGAGGAAAATGGAGCAGGACTGTGGAGCGTGAAACCCAGAGATGGGCCCTACAGCTCTCAGAACTGGTCTGACACATAAAACCCAGGCTCACAGCCATTAGTAAGAGATACTGATGTTCCTTTTAGCATCCACCAGTGGTAGACACAGCGGTTCTGAATCCTCTACTGTAACAACCACCCCTCCTGAGTGCACCCGTGCCTGGGATTTCCATGGGTCTCTAACGGGGAAGGTACCAGACCCAGTCTCTCTGCTCCTGCGTTGTTCAAAGTCCCCAGCCTCTAACGTGAACAAAACCTCTTGCTTCTACTGTGAGCTGCTAAAAATAACCACCTGGTCAACAACTACAGAGCTCTGATCATGGGCTTTCCATATTTTTACTGGCTTCTTTATTATTCTTTTGTCTTTTACTGAAAAAAGAAAGTATTGGTTAAGAGGAAATAATCCATCATCTTAATTATACCACTTTTTGGTTCTTTCTTTTTTTTCTTTTCCTTTATACAATTTTTCATTTGTTAAAACTCAAATTCTAGAAAAAGATACATGACGGCACTATGGTTATAGCCGCTGCTTAATAAAAAAAAAAAAAGAAAGGAAGAAAAAAATGCACACCCAGGCTACATTGTTTAAAATGTGACTCATAACAACAACAACAAAAGTCTTCTTACAAATCACATGACAACGCAGCTTATTCATTCTCTCTCCTCCTTGTTCCTTCTCTACACATTCTCTTTTTCTCTATGGCTTGTTTCTCCTCATTACAGACTCACACCCTGGTTTTCAATCAAAGTATACACACTAAGCAGAACACACAGGTGACTGGAATAAAAAGAAAATGTTTCATGGCAAGAAATGAGTAAGAGGCAGAGAATGAAAGACACTTTCAAATATAAAAGATCAAGAATACCTCCTAAGACCCAGCCCAGAGGCCACTTTTATTGCATTTCCTTAAAGATTTACCTAGTACACATCGGTCTCTCCTAAAGAATGAGATTGCTTCTGTCTCATGCTTAATTTATAATGGAAAAGAAAAACAACCGGGATTCCAAAAAAAAAAGCCATACTAACAATGTAACCGCCTATTGTTATTAGCGTTACACCATCAACTTTCCACATCCTGCCTGCCCAAACCTGATTTCTCTTTGTTTGCCTTTCTGAGTGAAAAGGCTGATTTAATCCCAGGACACCCACGCCCCCACTGGGGCTGCCACTGACCAGGAGAGGTACGCTATGCCGGTCACTCACTAGGTTAGACAGAGCAAATGGCCATCCCCTTTCCTCTCCCCAGTAGAAGGCTTTCCTTGAGTCAAAACCCAGATTTGCATGCTGAGATCAAAGGGGCCTCGGCCCAAAAGAAGACCGGCCCTGAGTTCACCTTGCTACGGCCTCCGAGTTCCGCGTACAACTTGCCAACGTGACAGAAGTTGTCCACTTTCAATTCCAATCCTGCCCTTGACTCTACGTTCCTTGGCCAAGTCTCTGCCCCTCAAGACTTGGTTTCCTTCTTCCAAAACACTTGCTCTCTCCAGAGACAACAGTCAGGGGCCAATCCATGCCTCCCATGCGCTGCTTTTGCTTAACCCCCGAATCAGCCCATCAGGAGTGTGCCGGAGATGCTTACCTTCAAGTCACTAAGCCCTGTGTTTATTTTGGCTAAGTGAGCACTGCAGCTCTGATGATATTTTATTTATATATTTTGTACAAGGGAACATGACCGGACTGTGAAGCCTCACGGTAAACAGAGCCTCAAGAACAGCACATGCGCCCTGCATCGTTGAATCTCTTAAGAAGCAAAGCACTTAGCCCCTGTACCTGTCAGTCATGGACTCAGACATGCGGGCTCACACACAACACTGCGTGCCGGTTGTCAGTCTTTAGCCAGCCTTCCTGGGAGCTTGGAGTCTTAACGAGCAGGTTTGACTTGCCCCACAGAAACATTACCTTGGGTCCTGGAATTCCAAGAACTTGAATTCAACTGTGATCCAAGTGAGTCAGCTCGGATCTCAGCTTCCCTCCCCACACTTGGACCCGCATTAACATAAATCTCACACACCGGAGAGCATCAACACAGGCCCAGGTACACACTCCATACTTTCACATGTGCCGTGGGGAGCGGGGATGGCCTTCGGGAGGCACGGACGGGGGAGAAAGAAAGAAATTGTATTCTGTGTCGGTCTGTCATTCTCTTTCCTGCCACTTTCTTCCTCCCGCCACCCCTCCCCTTGTCTTAGAGGATGATGAGTGGAAAATTGGGCCAGATGATTTGGAGTCAAAAGCGCATCTAGGTGGCAAACCGGGAATTCATCTCTTTCTAGCCAGGAGCTGGACAGATTAATGAGAGCGAAGATAACGAGTCTAGACTTCGGATATAAAAATGACTTCCTTATCTCTGGAATGCTGTCACCCCTGGGGTGAAGGCCAGCTGGTACAAAGAGGGCACAACAAGCCTCGCTGCTGTTCGCTGTTCGTATGAAAACCCTCAGGGGTCAGGTGAGGGGGAGTGTCGGTGTGTGCTCTGCCACCCAGGCAACAGAATGGAAGCCCTTCGAGGGGCTTCTAGACACTCAGCATTGGACAGCTGGGTGGAAACTTCATCGGTGTCAAGTCACTGGAGCTCAAGGAGGGCAGGAGGCGAACCCCGCCGCCCCCCGCAGCACAGACCGTCACCACCACCCTCGCTCCGACCACGAGGCAGCATCCCAGATTCGTCTCTCTCTGCTCTGCTCTTTGTTAGGGAGCAAATGTCCTGTTCTGGTTTTCAGTCCTGTATTTAAATGCTCTAAGTCCAGGAGACAAACATGCCTCCTCGTCCCCTTCACCGGACACCAGCTCCAGAATTCTGCAACTCTTTCTTCTCAGGACCGTCACTCCTTGCGTCTTTTCCCTAACTTTCTACGCTCGCAAAACCGCCTGCCACTGCACCTCACTGGGGGCTCATTGCGACCCCTGTCTTGGTGCCCTGCAGCTGGAAAGAAACCATCTTCAGGCGAAAATAAATCATTGCCACCTCGTTTCACTTTTAATTTACTACTGATTTTTGTTGTTCAGTCTCCCCCACAGCCTCTCCTTTCTCACCACTCATGCATTTTTAGCCTCATTGTTCCCCGTTGGACAATGCAAGGCTGAAAGGTTTATCTGTAACCTATTTGTCTCTATTATAGGTTTCTAAACTTTAATTAAACAAGAGACAGTGAAGATCTCAATTCTCTTTCTGGGAATCTACAGGTGTTGTTGGTGCCATCTAGTGGCGGGAAGGTGTGGTGTCTGTTTTCTCTCGAGAGATCTGTCAAGTTTGGAGGTTCCTTCCCCACACCAAATTCACATCACATGGGTGGAAGAAAAAGACATGCAAAAAAAAATTTTTTTTTTACCTTTAAAATTCTCACCTGCAAAAGCCGAGATGGGTTCTGGGGAAAAGAGAAGAAAAAATATTGAGTTAGATAAGGGGAAGAAATAATGGGGCAGGTGTAAGGTATGATGAAGATGACTTTTTGTAATACCCCATGGAAAATGTCCCCATGTCCACCTCATGCTCTAGACTGTCTAACACATCATCATCACAGGATGGGAGGGGGGTGAGAGAGTCCCAAAGTTGCTTTGGAACAAAAAGTTCTTTATAGAGCAATGGGTCTCTAAAGCATTGTAATCAGTCATTTACCACTGATTACTTTCTCAGAGCCTGGAGTACGTTTAGATGCCTGGGGCCTAAAGGGACTGGGGTGGTCCCAGGTGCTTCTGACATCATCAGGCACACACACATCCAAGACCCATGTGCCAAGAAAAGCTCTCGGTGAGTGATTACAGTCACTCTGCCTAGTAAAAGCAGGTCCCGTTCCTTCTCAGGATTCCCTCTTGCTTTTGGAAATGTCCATGTCTCCCATGGGAGACGGTCAGGAGGCCCTTGGGGGTGACCTGGGTAAAATGTGTGCATCTTCTGTGGGCTGGCTGCTCAGCACTTCTGTCCAAAGGGACAGCCATGCTGTCCTTCCTGTGCTGGTCACCTGGCATGCAATGCTGAATCTTACAGCTCTGGGATCTTGGGCATTGAAGCTGTTAGCTTCGGAGCAAACTCTAAAATCTTACCTCACCTGCCATAGTTTGCCCTGCAGTTCATTCATGTAAAGGAACAACCTGGGTAGTTGTGTTATCAGTCTGATATAACATATGTACTATTTTTGCTCACCAGTGAAGGCTTCCATTAAAAACATCAAAGCTTTGCAGCATGTAATTCTGACTGGCAGCTGTGCTCATCTTCTAGCATTTTCTTTGCTAAAAGCTGGAGTCTGATGATGGGGTCTTGCCACCCTGAGTTTCCATATACTTAGTGCATGTCTATTTCTGAATGGGAACAGGAGATAGAAGACTTCACCTCATTTCACACCCCTCCCATCCTGAATGCAGCCTAAGCTACAACTACATTCATTCCTCACCTCCTGCATAGACCATTGCTGTTCTACCCACTGGGTACAACTAGGTTTGAAAATGGCGTGCTGCCTCCTCTTGTATATCCCAGCCCCTGGTGTCTTGTTTGGAAGAGCCACAAAGAGACAGGTGTTCACGTACCCATACAGTTCTCCAGTGGGACATCAGTGCTTATCCGAATGTCGTCAATGGCAATTTCTCCTGAATGTCCTTTTCCTATGACTCCCTCAAACACAATCTAGAAGCCAGAAGAACAAGGGCCATGTTAACCGAGCTCCCTGGTTCAAACAGTGCAAAGATTTCCAATTTTCTGTTAACTGCAGCTTAAAGTGTGTGTGTGTGTGTGTGTGTGTGTGTGTGTGACTGTACCTGGTACACATCTGTTGACCACAGGGCTATGGTACTTGAAATCTTAATTTAAAAAGAGTTGGTTCAAATCAAATGCATATCTGAAGGGATTAAAAATACATATAACAAGGGGCGCCTGGGTGGCTCAGTCGTTAAGCGTCTGCCTTCGGCTCAGGTCACGATCCCAGGGTCCTGGGATCGAGCCCCGCATCGGGCTCCCTGCTCCTCGGGAAGCCTGCTTCTCCCTCTCCCACTCCCCCTGCTTGTGTTCCTGCTCTCGCTATGTCTCTCTCTGTCAAATAAATAAATAAAATCTTTAAAAAAAAATACATATAACAAGGTGATGGACAGTGTTGTCCAGTAACTGGAACATACTGATTAAAAGGACCGGAATCAGGACATGTTTAAAGGAGGGTTGAAATGTCCCTAGCCATTTTTGAAGTTCCTTTCTCGTAAATCTTTCAAATGCCCAATCCAGGTATTTGGTAACTCAGAGGACATGACAGGTGGGGTAAGGTGAGAAATACAGTATGCTGGGTTTGGATTGCCTCTGGCATAACATTGTCTTATGGCTCCATTATTACAACTAGGAGGGAAAGGATTTTTTCCTTCACAGTAGTTGACGGAACACCTACTATGTGCCAGGCACAAGGACGGTTACAAAATCTCGTAAGTCCAACCTCTGCCCAGAGATCCTCACCATCTGACGGGTGAGACGAAAATGCAAACAGGTCCTTACAATACAGTGCATTAAGGTTTATAAATGGGAACGCAGGCCAGGGTGGGGCAGAACTCAGGACACCTTACAAGCTCCGGAGCAACTGCCGGCTGCATGCAGAAGCCCCTCTGCTCTGTGGTCTTCAATCATTCCTTGCGCTCACCCTCCCTAGGTTCTCTCTGCAAACGAGCACATGTCCTCTGGCAAGCTGAGCGAGCAGTTGGCTGCCTCACCAGCCGTCTGTTGCTGCTTCTCGTCTGGGGAGGAGCAGGTTAATGCCTTGGCTGGTTCTCAGTCACCTCTTCCACAGTGTGTCTACTCCTACCCAAGCCTCAGCCACAGCTGTGCATACCCATCTGTGCCTCAGTCTTTCACTCTGTGGGGCAGAGATAATAAGCCTCAACTCCTGGAGCGGTGGGGAGAGGAACCATTCATTTAGGAGTCTTTCTGGTTTGCTGGCCACTGAGTGCAAACAGCCACCCTCCCCTTCCCTCGCCCACGTGCCCCGGGACAGGTCTGGCAGGATTCTCCCCTCTTCTTGGAGTGCAAGGGGGCTCGGCAGCCTTCCTCCCCCGTGTGTGGAGGCTGGTTTGGGTTTATTTCCCTGGCTTCTGTGTCCCTTTGTCAGCCTACCTGATAGCAATCTAAACTAAAATAGAGAGAAGAAACATTTGTTGGGAAGATTTCAGCAATATAAAAGGCAATAGGAGGAACAAAGAACCAAGTCTGGGTGTAGAGATAGGCACATTTTGAATAACAAATAAGAGTGTCATTTAGTTGCCATGGCAATGTGAGGAACACAATGAAAACAGCGGCGCTTAACCACGTTCCCTAATGATGAATGGGCACGGCCCTTTGCAATATTGAAATATGGATCACAAAGATCCCCGGGATCTCTGCACCCACCTCCCGTCACCACCCTACCTGATACTCCATGTCATAGCTGGGCAAGATGATCCGCCCGTGTTTCCACTCACTGCCCTGGTCCTCGCGGATGACCCAGAGGAGCTTGCTCTCCTGGCTGGCCTCGCGCACCACCTGCAGCGCCACCCCGCGGCCACCTGTGGCTTGGTACTGGAACTCCATGCACACGGGGCTTCGGGGCAGGTGCACGGGAGGGCTGATGAGCCGGGCATACTGGCCCTCTCTCCGCCCATCGCTCTGCAGCCGCAAGAAATTCCTGTCATCTGTGGGAAAGAAACCCAGAGGTTCCCATTACACTGGGGAAAGAGACCAGTTTGCGGCTGTGGCCCCCCTCCCCGCCCCGAGAAAGCTGGAACCAGAGTTTGGGGGTCTTGTTTATTCATGTCCTTGTTCTCCAGGCCCTGTGTTTTCTTCTCAAGCTTAAGAGCTGGGCTCCAAAGCTGCTCCCTTTTGAAGCCTTTTCGGGAGCCTTGAGGTCAGGTTGGTCTTTCCTGCCTATTTCTCCGTATCACTTTCTCAGTGTCTTTGTGTACAGACGGTACTTGGTGCAGTTGGCCTTACGTCTTGGCTGGTGGTGTCTGTGCCTGTCTTCCCCCCCTAGAACCGAAGATGCCAGACCCATGTCTTATTCACCATTGGCTTACCCAAAGGGCCAATGCATCCTAATGAATTAAATTCTAAGGGGGCCAGGTGGCTGCTAGACTGGAAGATGATTCTAGCCAGTGGCTTATGCTTCAAGCCTTTGTCATCTTGGCTGGGCACTGGCCAAATGGAAGACATTTAAAACCGTCTGTCTCCACCCATGCTCCTAGGTGGTACCTGGACTCTAGCTACTGTCAGAAGCCAGCGTCGACCTCAAGCGGAAGAAGGGATGGTGGCTGTGGAGGGGTGGGGGTGAGCCAGGGGGGCCGGACACCCTACTCCCTTCCCTGTCCAGCCCAGGGAGGCTAGAATTGGCCTTTTTCAGAAAGCCAGGCAAACAGCTCCACCGAGAACAGGCACAGTCATCATCACTAATGAAGGCTACGTGTTTAATAGAGAATATACACTGGATGGGAAATTAAGGTTTCACCCATCCAAATGTTTGGAGGATGGGCCTTTTGGCTGATTAGTTTGCAAATACATCAGACACCGTGCAGAAGACGGAGGTCTTGTTGCCATTTGCAGACCCCATGCCCTGCAGACGCGGGTATGGGGGCCTGCGCCTGCAAACCCAACGTACACAGGAGCATTCTGGCCACTTGTACAGAAAACAAGGTGGCATTTGAGAAGACAATCTCACCGCCTCCTTTTGGCCCCGAAACATCCTATGCCGAACACTTCCGCAAGGTGGCGGGGGATGTTCACACCACACAGCCAGCACATCAGACCCTTGCGGATCATGTTAATCTGAGACACACGCACCCAGCTTTCTTATTCACCAGGGACCGTGAACATCCTGGGCTTGTCAGGGGAGAACAGGCAAGAACTCAGAGCCCTGAATCAACAGGTTACCATTGCTACCCCTGCTGACATCGTTGTTCTAGCAATGAGCGTGTCACTGGCCCCAAAACAGCACCTTCCTTCTTTCCCACAGCCATCTCTCTCCCTCCTTCCTGGCCGCCCCCCCACCCAAGCCCCTCCAGTTAGATTCTCTAGGATTACTGCTCCAGAAGCTACCCTCCCCTGAAGTCAAATCAGACCAGTTCAGGATGCATAGTTGGGATTCCAGTTTGTCTCCTTAACCATCCAGAACCACATGTCTAATACCCCCACAACCGGAGACCCCTTCAAGGCCAGAGGCAGCACAGATAACCGGGCAGCTGTCCACAGCACACATTTCAAAGGTGGTGATCTGCCAGGGGAGGAGACACGGGTGCCGCAATCAGACACTCCAAGCTCTTCCAAACCTACGCTTCTCCTATCAGATCCCGTTACTACCACTATTAATGATAATAATTAAAGTCATATTTGCAGAATGCTTTGCAGGTTTCCAAAGCACATTCACATGCATTGTTTCGTCTAATCCTTCCTAAATGCTTGTGAGAGCTCTATCTTCTGAATCTTACTTGTACAGGACGAAGACATGGAGGTCAGAAAGGTTCAAAGGACTTGTCCAAAGTAGAGAGGGTGGTAAGGAGTACAGCTGGACCTGACATCAGGTTTTCCACCTCTGCAGTGGGTTCTTCGCTTCAGCTGTGCCCCAGGTACCTGCCCCACATCCGGGCAATCGTCACACTCTATTCAAGGTAAACTGGGCTTCCCCCCCCCCCAGCCCCGCCCCTGCTCCCGCTTCTCCTTCCTGCCACCCCTCCCTCCCCTACCACTCTACCTCTCCCACCTCTTTCGCTAGTTCTTCTCCTACCCATTCTGGCACATTCCAGCTAATGCCTCTTTTGTCTCTACAACTCGAACATTTTACTGACTGTACCACTGATCTTGTTTTTAGAAAGACTCGAGGCCATTTCTCATGCATTTCAGCAGGTAACCACCCACTGCCTCGCGCTGTAATTTAACTGGTTCGCGTGTGTCTTTCCCCTTGCTACAGTGAGATGACAGAGTCCCAGGCTTACACATATAAGGGTTAATACTCTGCTGCTTCTCCCTGCCCCTCAACGGTGATATATAGATGCTGCTACTCAAGAAAACTTTGTTCCCACAGATGAATGAATGACAAACACACAGATAAAGGAACGATAGGAGGCTCTATATTCTCATGAGACACAAGAACAGAGGAAGAATCAGCTAGCCTTTGCTAATCCCACAGATTCAGATAATCTCTTCACAGTTCCCTCCCACTCTCCTGAGCCAACGCCCCTTTCAAAGGAGAGGAGAGCTGATGATAACAGGGTGACCTGGGGACACACCGTGGAGCCACCAGTGAGACCCTCCCCGCCCCCACCCCTCCGATGCTCCCGTGCTCCAATAATTTCCAAGCCCTGACTGCTTCCACCTCAGACAGAAAGGAAACCAGATTTCAGAGATTTATTATTCAGCCTTCTTCCTTCACAGTTTCACAAATAAGACCCACTTGCTGCTTGAAAATTGCTTGGCAGAAATACTGTCACTTGTGTGAATTTACATTCTTAAGCGGCAGGGGATTCATAGCATAATGGTTAGAATTTAGTAAGTGAAATGTGTGTGGAGGTGGATTTTATCTGGGTCTGTTCTGTTTACCCATCCTGGTCCTAAAAGTTCAGGCACCATCAGGCCAAAGGTCTCCCAGGCTACTGTGCCCCGGACCCCAGCTAGCCCCCCCCTCCCCTCCTTCCCCCTCCTCTGCTCTCTCTCTCACAGTAAGACGATAATCACACCGCATGATTTAAAGGACCACTGGAAGACCAGGGAGTTAATGCTGGTGGTGTGCTAAGCACGAGCAGCTGAAGGATCATAATTCAGTGCTGACATCTAAGCTAATCCACTAGTTTGCAGAATCTCAAGACAAACAGGCCTCTGGATTTCACTTAGTTAAATCATTTGTGCCCCACTTGTCTGTTAAGTGCTATGAGCTCGAGGGAAGAGAGATGATATGTAAATTTAAGGAATTAGCAGTAGACATCAGTCAGAGGGACGCTGAGCCGCAAAACGTCCCTGCCTGTCGCTGAGGGGGCCTGATTAGAAGCAGGACGTCATGAAGGGATGGCTAAGACCGGGCAGGGCCCAGGGAGGGGACAGGACAGGCAGGGGCAAGGGAACTGGTGTTCACTGGGCACCTACTGTGTGCCAGAAGTCGTGCAGGAAGCGCCGTCTGCCTTTTCTTATATAATCTTCCCTGTGAAATCTAGGTCTGTGAAGCAAGTACCATTTTCTCCATTTTTACCAGAGAGAAAGCAGAGGCTCGGAGAACTGAAGCCATGTGTCCGAGACAGCTGCTAGCCGAAAGCACCGCACAAAGGAGCAGAATCGCCAGAGCGTGGCCGCTCATCTGGGCTGGAGCCCTCGTCTAACACTCACCCATCATTTAAAGCCTCAGTCTCCCCGTCTGTAAAATGGGTCTAATAAGAACATTACTGGAGAGGGCTATGAGGAGAAGGAAATGGAACAGGCCATGGGAAATGCTTTGCACGCTAACAGGGACATAGTAACACTCAATAGTAACAGGGACATAGTAACACTCAATAGTAACAGGGACATAGTAACACTCAGTAGTAACAGGGACATAGTAACACTCAGTAGTAACAGGGACATAGTAACACTCAGTAGTAACAGGGACATAGTAAGCACTCAATAAAAGCTCTGCTCTTTATCACTATATACTGACCCCTATGTCTTGCCTTTTTTTTTTTTTTTTAGAAAGAAAAAGGGCCAAAAGAGCACCAATAACCTGGGAAGACCAGTCCTAGACTCACAAGGAAGTATGGTTTGGCCGGAGGGCAGTGAAGGTGCTCCAACCCCAGCAATCAGCCGGCCCTTACTTGTGCATAATGCACTGCTTACCACATGTCTTTCCTGTCACTGTATAGGAGATGAAATAAAATACTACATGATCCTGGAATGAGAGTGGGACCTCAAGAGACAGCTTAGATCAGGTCAGCCCAGCTGCCCAGAGGAACCACGCTGAAAACATCCCCAGAACAGCTGTCTACCCTCTGCTTTAAATTCTCCAGAGCAGGAGTTTCCATAGGCCACAGCGGCAATGTGTTTTCTGGGTCACAACCCTAACTGTCAGGAACTTCTTAAATTCAGTTTTAAGTTTTCCTGCTGTCACTGAGACACATGTCCTCCTTCTATCCCTGATGGAGCACCGCCAATTTCTGTCCTCTGACTTGGAAACCTTTTCACTCATGAAGAATTCAGACCCTGAGTCTTCGCTTTCTCGGAAAACTCAGCCCTTGCCTCTTCAAATGTCCACTTTGGGGGGCCTTAGTCATGGGGGTAGGTCTACACTAATGCTCCTCTAAGCTAAGTGCTTCAGTTCTTTGAAGTCATGGCACCCATATATGTGCTGTGAGTGAAGTCTGTTCGCGTAGAATGCTCTAATTTATGGCCTACCACTGCCAAACACACAGGAAAGTTGTAAGCACGCAGTGGGCTGGCATGACGCGGGGGGCGGAGGGCTTTAGCTATTGACTTGGACCTCAAGAAAAAGCCCTTTGGATTGTTAAGAGGTCCCCAAACATGACGACTGACCAGCTCAAAACCAGCTCTGCCTGACTATCTTCTTGTTCTTGTAGCCCAGGGCAGTGATGCCGGCCATGGAGAGCTTCCAACAAAAAGACAATAGAAAGGAAATACATTCAGTTGCTGAAAGAGAAGGAAGAAATAATGTCCCAGAGATACAATC